TTTGGCCAGGAATGAGACTCTGTCTGTAGTGTTAGTGTCTATATTATTGTTTATAGCTTTTTATGTGTTGTTTTTATATTTGAATGATATGTTAAGTGCTTTGGTCAGCTGTGCTGTGGTAAAGCGCTATATAAATAAAGTTGAGAGAGTTGAGGCTTCCTTCACTGGTACCGCTCCCAGCCATTGGTTCCGCTACGTGGATGACACATGGGTTAAAATCAGGACCCAGGAGGTAGAGGCTTTCACCAAACATATCAACTCTGTGGATGACAACACCAGATTCACTCGTGAGGATGCTAGAGATGACTGTCTGGCCTTTCTGGATTGTGCAGTCCACCTGGGAGGGCACAGAAGCCTGAAAGTAGAAGTATATCGGAAACCTACACACACGGACCAATACCTGCTTTTTGACTCACACCATCAACTTCAACACAAACTGGGAGTCATCAGAACTTTAAATCACAGGGCAGAGGAAGTGGCCACAACGGCAGAAGGGGCCAAGAAGGAGAAACTACATATCCAGAACTCCCTTAGGGCTTGTGGATACCCTAAGTGGGCCTTCACCAAAGCGAGGAAGAGGCCCAACACCAATAGGAAGAAACCAGAAACAAATGAGGTGAATGTTTGTTTAGAGTGGTACACCTCTTCATCGGTACATATACCATTGTTTACCTATCTATGGAGGAGAAATTCAAATTAATGAAGGCTGTTGTGGTTCGTCCTGCTGTCCACTTTCATATTTTTTGTTTATGCGTTGTCCTGGCTTCCTGATCCAGTGTTCTCCCATCGAGATGTCTTTCCCCTGGTTTTATCAATCTGAAATAATCACAGACTATTTGGAGTTATGATGGCTGCAAAGCTAATCTGGAGGTACCCAGGACTGAACAGTAAATGGTTGGAAATGAGCATGCCATGGGTTCTTTAAATTTCTTGTTTACAGCTGCTTGCGCCTGTGGAGAAACATATTTGGTCAACAACTATGAGGATGGGAAAGTGAAACTGGGCAGGAGAAAGTTCAGCTGAATCCTTTGTGTTATTAGCACTCAAACTTTTTGCCCTGTCACTTTTCACTGTATTCTTACTTTTTTTTTTTTTTTTTTTTTTTTTTTTTTTTTTTTTTTTTTTTTTTTTTTTCTTGCCGTGTGGGACTAGTTATAAAACAAGCTGATGAAATGATTAGAAACTGTCTGCAGCATGTTCCATTGGATGAGCAAATTCTTGGGAAATGCACACTTATGGTTATGAAGATGAACCTTGCATAAACCTTTCCTCACTGAATCAGCCCCCCACTCCACACCCCCTCTGCTTCCCTTTATCTCCACCCTTAGCTGTCTTTATTTATTTCCCTAATTCGTCTCTTATATTATCAAACTGCAGTCACCAAAAACCTCAGCTTTCTGCATTCTTGAGGCCTGTAAATGAAACTGGTATAGAACTAGAACCGATGGTGTCTTATGAGTTTTGGACAGGAATTTGAATTCTGAACAGTTTTTGGACAATTGAGATACATAATCTACTGCATCAAGGAAGCTGTGAAATGATTTTACCATGCATGTAAATGCACTTTTTGTCTGGCTGGGCTTCCCATGTACAGCCACAGCAAAAGTGAAAGCTTCTTCCAGCTTTTGGCATCTGGTCGCCACTTAAAGGATAAGGTCAGCCTTTTCTATATTAACAACATTTTAAACACTCCCCATACAGAGCCTAAAACCAACTACTTACTTTTAATGTCAGTCAGTCCTGGATTAGTTTAACCATCTGTACCACAGACCTGGTGACATGTTTCCTCATTATGAAACGAGACCCTGATAGTTCCTCAAAATGTTGCCCCTAAGGTTCCAAACAGCCATAACATCTCACAGCATCTGAAGCAAGCACAAGTCAAGGGCCCATGCACAAAGATGTTAACAAATATTAGGGTCTTGTGTTTCATAATGAGGAAATGTCATCCAATGCAGCAGTGTGTTTACCTTGTTTCTAAATCATTTTTTTCACAACTACTGAGGGCTTTGGTACAGACAAATATGCTAATCCAGGACTGACAGATATTAAAGTGAGTAGAGGCAAATGTTGGTTTTAGCCACTATATGGTTAAAAATAGAAAATGACTGGCCTGGTACAATTGTACATACAGAGATAGTGAAGCAAATATTTAGGATAGACACTTTTTCATAGTATCTCGCTGTACAAAGAAAACTAGTGCAAGCTCATATGGTAATTTGTAATAGCTGGATTTTTAGGAGCCTCGAACTGTGATAATCATGTAAATAAACGAATCTATGTTAAAGACACTGCTCGTTGCATTTATCTGAAGCAGATTTCTAAGGCTTGGTCCATGACTTGCATCTTATTTTTTTGGACAGACATCAGCGTAGGACCGTGGCTCTTTGCTAGTCTCCGATCACTTGATCACAGCTACCTGGAATAAACATTGCAGAGGCTCACCAAGGCGATAAGACAAACGTGCATATCTTGGGAAGCAACCGGCCCTGTTTTAAGTGCTTCTGAAGAAAGCTGTGTACTTGACAGGGTGAGAGTCTGTTACATACAGCGTACAGTTTAAGGTCCCTCTCTTCCTCCTCTCAGCAGGAGTAGGTTCTCACCGTGGAGCTGTCCAGCCGCTGCACCGCTCCGACTGTAAGGCGAGACAGCAACAGATAAAGATCTTTAAGTACGAGTATAAAAACCTGTATCCCATCAGATGGACCCAGAGTGAGAAGGAAACAATCTTCCACTTGGTTACCACCCCAGAGAAGTGCCACAAGATTAGACATCCTCAACAGTATGAGTAAGATCACAAGCAAAACACTTCAACACAATGGAGATTATTTGCAGCGTCACCCTCAGAAGTGAAACGCAGTCAAGGAAGTGTTAGTTGAGTGGACGCCACCAGCAACAAGACTGGAGTGTAGTGTGGACATCACAGACCAGGGAGCACAGAGACGAGAGAGGTACACAGGAAGGCTGTTTGTGTCACAGGGAAATTTGTTAAAGGAGAACACTGGCCAAAATCAGTGCAATTGCTTGATTTCCAGTAATGTAAGACAACTTGTGTGGTGTAATTTGTATAGAGACAGCTGATAAAAGACTTTGTTCAGTTTAACAGATAATTTCTGCTCATTGCAACTTGGGTCTTGTGTGGCATTTCGTTCTTGACCAGGGCAAGAGCAGTAGACGGCACTCAATCATAATTCCATTTATGCACTTTTGATTTAATTTCCAAATAAAATGATTTAAATCATTTTTCTTGTTTACAGCCTATCAAATTACATGCATCTGTTGCCCTGTCGCCATTTTGTGGAGATACTGTAGCTGTGTCCCCCGCAACAATTACTTAAAGCTGCATTAACTAACCTCCTCTTTGACCGTTAAGGGCGAAGTGAGAGCCAAAACAAACTCGAGCAGTATCCTCTCTTCTTCCTCCGCTTCTGGCTGCCCCCCTGCCTTGTCTCTGAAACGACATATTTGGTCCCGACAGCCGGAGACAGCTGTAGCAGTCAGGTAGCACAGCAGTAACAAGTGGCTGCAGAACTAATGTATGTAAATATAGAGCCCGTGGTTTTAGATGGCATTACAGCGATGCAATGTCAAAGAGGTTTACATTTTAGTAATATGCATGTTTAACATTGTTTTTAGCGGATGCATCTGTAGTAACACAAGCAAATTATACAGAGGAATCTTTTTCCCCAGTAATACTGATGCAGTACTAATGTTCTGGCCACTATCGCAAGAGAAATTTCATGTTATGCTTTGATTACAGTACTTGTGCATCTAGCAGGAAGAAAGCCCCATCTGTGTCAAATTTTAGTCCTTTGGATGCTTTTAATGCTCTCCATCTCTGACATGCCAAACTGATATTAACCCTGGTTTTGACCCATTCCTTGTTGTACTCGTTCTGTGCTACAGAACCCTCTTGGGGTCTAACAGGTTTGCTTCCATTCTGGATTGTACCTACAAAGGGTTTGAAAAACACATCTTCTGTCTTCTACACCCCCGCTGATGTGAGGTGCAGACTTGAACTGCCACAAAGGACAAGAAATAAACAGGACCTGAAGATGGCAGAGTGGGGTGGGGGGTTAAAGTACAGCAGGGAGACAACACTTCTATTTATTTATTTTTTTACTTCATTTATCCAAATTTGTGCTAAAACTTAGTTAATGCAGCTTTAAGTCTAGTCCAGAGCTACCACCATTAGAACCAAGTTCCAATAACCTGGAATTACTGTACCCTTTACTGAAAGCCCTGTTCAGCCAGTGTGCTCTTTTAACGGCAGATGGATGAAGAATGACACATTGGTTTGATTTCTTGAAACATCCAAGACATCATTTATGTAATCATCCTGATTCAGGCTAACGTACATAGCACTGCCCAGACACCTTTTGTTTTGCTGCTTAAATTCTGTAACTTCAAGGGTTACACCAGCAAGCATGGGTCCTAATCCATAACTTGACCCCTGAGCTTTTACCACCAGGGTGACTAGACAACTACAGTATATTGCAACTCTGCAAAACAACACCCTTGGAGCAGGACATAAGAAAAATTAAATAATAGTAGAGAGAGAAGAAAGATAAGGGGAGAGATACAGCAGGACAGTGGTTGGTAGAGACCATGTAAAGAGAGGGGAAGATATGTAGAAGAATACTGAGACACGCAGGGCAACAAGCCCAGAACCTTCAGTGGGGCATAGCTGACCTTGAAACCAATCCAAATACATGTCGTCAGGAGTGTCATCCAGGGCCTCATAGAGGACTGCAGAGCAGCCGTCAGAGAGAACAAGAGACATGGTCACAAAACAGCAAGGAGCAGCATCTCCTGCGCTGAGCTGTGGTGCTTTGACTGAACCTTTGCTTTGTTGCCGAGTTTGAAAGGCACACTGCAGAAAATATCCATCTTTAACACAGTTCGTGTACTGCTAGCATCAAGCCTTTAAATACAGATTTGAGTCAAACAGTCTGTCAGTGGGGGCCTGACCTGTGGAGCAAGGTGGGGAAGCAGGCACTCACCCTCAGGAGGCAGCCTCCGGGAGTGACCCGACGTGGTGAGACGGAAACCAGCAGGGAGCGTCTCTGCAGAGCCAGGCATCATACTGATCCCATGAACATCTCGGGGCGGGAACTGCCTCCTCCACGATGGACCTCGGAAATCTTTGTCATCACACTGAGACAAAAAATGGCATCCGTTTACTCCTAAGGCAAACATGTAATGATTGTAGTATAAATACAATAGGATTGGCCTATATTTTTATAATTAGAAATGCCTTCTCTTCCAAAACTTTCTAAACAAGTTATCTGACCTACTTGTTTTGCTGTAAAAGAAAGGTTTGTCCTCCAAGACCAGTGCAGTAAAGAAAAAGAGTGTGCTGCCTTCGCTTTGTTGTATTGTTGACATCAATTATGAGACAGTGTATGAAGTCTGCTTTCAAAAGCTTTGTGAATAGTTTTAGGATATTGGGAGATTTCAGCATCTTTAAAACTCGACAAAAATAATTGGTAACACTTTAATTTACAGGCCGTTGAAATAGCCAGGGAAACGTGACTCACTGAGTAGCTGTTTATGTAGTAGCTCCGTGTAAAATCAAAGCAGAATAAAGAGGTTGGGCCAGTAATTCTGTTCTAATATATTGTTATAACAACAGGTATGGGCAGAATATTCTCACTGGTGTGGTTCAATCCAAACGTAAAGCCAGCGTTCCAGTGATATAGTCAAGTATTGTAGGTAGTTAACTTGTTTACTTGCTATTTGGTAGTTTATCATACATAAATTACCTGTATATTTAAAAGTATGAATGCACAACACTTTTGAGGCAGTGGAAAGATAACTTCAGTGATATTTCATGGTACTATGTCATTATGTAATTCTTGAAAAATGTGTACAAATTTCATAGAAATGAGTCACTTTATAGTATTTACAGTAAAAATACATACATTTCATTATATTGCAACCATCCATATGATTCACACAATGGAAAGTAAGAGGAGATAATGAAATTTCTAGTGTTTGCTACCATTTCTTGTTGGTAAACAAAGATTACAGTGGCTGTCACACCTCTTGGCTTGTTCAAAGGTAAATCCCTGGAAAAAACTGATATTAGTTACAGAAAGTACTTGGCTACATCACTGGAATGCTGGCTGTACATTTATATTGAGCGACAACAGCAAGGATGTACTGCCCATCAAAAGCCAAATATTTAGTAGGCTAACGAAGTCGTTTCTTCTGAAACAACTTGTGGCCACATACCTGTTGTTATAACAATAAATTAAACAGAATTACTGGCCACACCTCTTTAGTGTGCTTTAATTTCAGGTGGTATTTCCCAGTAATTGGTTATTCACAAACAACTACTCAATACAACAATTTTTTGGCAATTTCCTAGCAATTTCTCCACATTACTGCCTGTAAATTAAAGGGTTACCAAATAATTTACAGCTATTGTACTAGCTTGACATGTAGCTTTCCAATCCTCAATAGGTGCATTATAATCACAAACAGATGAAAAGTCCATCAGACATTTAAAGAGCCCATGGCATGCTTTTCTGTTTTCTGACTCATCTACAATATTACAATGAATTATCATCTTAAACGTGACTGAAAGCTCAAAAAATGAGGTATAGCTATGTTGCTGCACTTCCATGCAGAAGTAACTCTGTTTATACAAGTCCCACTGGTGAGACTTTTTTCCACCTATGTAAAGTCTTAGTTAATAGTTTATAGATTGGAATGGTCATTCTCCTGTCTGTGCACGTTCATGTGAGCTTGCCTGACATCCACTGGTGCCATTTTAAAAGTGGGATTTTTTTCAACTGCATGGAATTTTGTGGCTATACTGTATTTTACCTCCTGCTGCTGCACTGTGATCAGAGGATGTGGAGAAAAATACAGGGCCTGAGGTTACTGCATGTCCGGGAATGTTCCTGTTCCGGGACTCTCTGTTTTACCTGACCGGGTCTAACCTACAAGCAGCCGGCCTGTGAAGGCCCCTGCGGGGGTGAATGATCAGCTCATCAACCTGGATTCCCCTAGAGCGCAGTCCTCGTTTGTTTTGACTGCTTGAGGCCAGTGTGTCTGCCACGTGATGTGATACCAGCTAGCGAGAGGATTCTAATGATCCATGATATTGTCAGTGCAGTGCTACCTGCTGGATTTAATTTCACTACTTCTGGAACGTGGTCATCTGTAACACGAGGGATTTATGGGGGAAGATTTAGGGACCGGACCGCTGGTTGGATTTACCGACCTCGGAGCTACTTGAAAGGGAGTGATGCTTCCACTACTCGGTGGGACATAACGGTGAATAGAAAAAAACCCCACATATATTGCTTTTGCCTGTTAATGAGTTGTTTCCGTAGAGAGTTGTTGTAAGGCTGGAGACATTACCATGTCTGCTTAATGACAGTTAAAATATGGGGTTTCTCAATTACTTGCTTTGTTTAGAGTGTTACAAATCTCTTGTCATCAGTACATATACTGTTGTTTGCCTATCTAAGGAAGTGAAATTTAAATTAATTCATGCTGTTGCTGTTCGTCCTGCTGTCCACTTTCATATTCTGGCTGGAACATGTCAGGTAGGATTTGAGGTATTGTCATTGTCGAAAACATATATTTGTCAGTTTTATGGTTTGTGTTTTCATAGCTTGGTGACCGGCGACAGAAGGTGCGCCCGTTCACAATCTCTCCTCCGGTTTTCAGGAGGAGGCTCTCTTTGCAGTATTGAGTTTTATCTTCTGAAATAATTTGTTTTGATGGGTGCAAAGCTAATCTAGAGGTACCCCAGATTAAAAATTAATTGGCTGAAAATGAACATGCCATGGGCTCTTTAAATATGTAGTTTATGCTTTCAGTACTGTACACCTTTACAGGTTCTTAAATATATACACCTGTTGGTAATGGCTACTAAGTCTTGTTTGTTCTGACCTTTCACCTCAGTGATGTAGGTTAGTCCTGTGTGTGATAGACAGCTGCTGCTCACCTCATCCAGTCTCCTGTCGGTGCCCAGTGCCAGCAGGTTATTGTACTCTCGTTCCAAAATCTGACGTGCCTGAGGAAAGAAACACATTGAAGACATGAGTTTCACAAGGCCACCTATTTCTAGCAGCTTTGTGCCAGAGGCAGCTGATACATTTTGTTATTTGCATTGCATATCCATTTTACCCAAGTACAGATGAGATGAGCAGTAGAAATTCACAGTTCAACCTGCCAGAGCGACAGTTGGCAAAGCTGCATGTTGTGATTTAGCTTACACTAGCTTTTGAAGGGCAGTAACAGCGTACCTATTTTTGGACCTAAGTTGATGATAGATGACATTTATCATCTATCATAGATGATATTTATGTCCATGTTTGGCTATAGATAGATACTTTACTGGTCCTGAGGGAAATTTAGGTATCCAGCAGCAACAGCAATGATTACCAAAATCACAGCAAAGTAAAGAAATGTATAAAGTGTAAGACTAAAACACAAATGGACTTTATTTATATAGCGCATTTCCACAGTGTGTTACACTGGCCAAAGCGCTTTACAGAGATGATTGACCCATTCACAAGGAAACACAAGGAAAGAAAGTATTAAAAAAGAGATGTGTAAACATAAGTGTGTGTGTGTGTATATATAAAGAAAGTCACTTTCGGCTTTTCACGAAATTCAAAACTGCTGTCCCCGTCTGACCTGCAAAGCTAAGACTATATACTATACATTAGTTGCACTACCTGAGTGTTTTGGGTGGGGATCTGGAGGAGCAGCGCCAAGCTGCTGTAATCAAAGTTGTCATCCAGAGCGACCAGAGCTCCGTGCACGCCACTCTCCAGCAAGATGTTGGCGTAGTCCCTCAGGCCTATGCTCTGCACCCAGCGGATGACCCGCTCATTGCTCCACACCAAAACATCTGCAGCACACAAAAAAAAAAAACCCCAAAAAATCCCATTTTAATCTCAGATCTCCGCTTCTTTTTAACCTATTTGGATTTCCTTACCTCTCATTTCATGCTGGCTTTGCTCCCTGCGTCTCTCCAGTTCCTTCCTGTCGTAGTTGAGCTTCTTCAGACCCATGATTCCATATTGTAAACTTGTTCTGGTGTCACAAAAGCACACATACACGTGATAGGACAAATCTTTTTCTCATCTATTTATGAACATTATAAACAAACACCTATGACAGAAAGGCTTACTCAGACTAATCTTCAGATACTTTAGTTTGCAGGTCTGAAATCAGTCACCATGAGGCAGGATGAGGTTAGTCCAGTACCTGTGGAAGCTGTCCACCATTTTGAGGTGCACCCTCAGATCCTTCTTGGTGAGGTGGTCCAGCATGCGGGCATCCACCAGGCACTCCATGAAGTAGCTGCGGTACTGAGGTAGTCCTAGACTGGGCAGCCACTCGTTCCCTATCCACTCATGGTTCATGTCGCCATAAGCTAGAGTCTGAGAAAAGACCTCAGCCTTCAATCAGAGCTTCATAAAAGCAAACAGCTTATTTGTAATGGATACATTTTCATATTGGCTGCCAGTTTGAACTGGTCATTAAAAAAAAACAAAAGTGTTCTGTTACCTGTGCCCAGCTCCCCTCTTCAGACTCTGACTTCTGATCAAAACACAATAAAAAGAAAGTCATCTGAATGCTGCTGCATAACAAAACGTCCCTTAAAATGCAGCTAACAAGTGCCGCCAAACCACACTGATGAAGCGCAAAGTGCATGCTGAATTCAGGATTCAGATGAACAAGGGTCATATCAGTCAATTTAAGCAATATATGATTTAGTTTGTGCAATCCAAAGTTGAGTCTGGTTGCAAAGCTCCGACCTCTATGAGACCCCGATGAAGGAAAAAGGGGGGGAAATCTCTTTCCCAACCTCTTACATTTTGATGAACCTTGAACTAACCAAAAGCAGCTTTTAAGACATGGTAAAAGGTTTGTGGGAGCTACTGTTGAGCAAGATAAAAGGAAAGAAAGCCGTAATCTAAATGGCAAGTGAATTGGTCTCCAGGGCTGCTCTTAAACTCAGATGTGGCCTAGACTCATAGTTTGCATTTGGTTTAGAAATAGGTTACTAATGGGCTACAATGCTGTCCAGGAAAATGGTACAAGATTGATTATTAGCTGTGGATTTCCTTAAGCCACAACGGACAAACTGCATAGCATTATAGACTATGTGCTTGTAGTGTATGCTGATTTCTTTAAGATGGGTGCAAAGCCTCAGAAATGGGTAATAGCCCACATGTGATCATTTAAGTAGTGTATTTTTAACACTACTCCAGTAGAGTTTTGTATGGCTGTGGGCTGAAGATATTCTACCAACTTAAACTTGATGTGATTATCACAATTTATTACCTTCATTCCATGGCTCATCACAAAGAACTTGTGCACTTTCCTGTGGCTTGGGACAGCCTAACAATGATCCATCACTACACATCAGATATCAAGAATTTTGTTTTTATTTATATCTAAGATGCTGCATTTCCCAAGCAGCTTCATCAGGCTGCATCACTGTACCTGGAGGAGCTGGATGCTAAATGTGATTTAAGTAACTTCTAGAGACCTGGTGTGTGATTAGTGGTGTGGTACTGTACCACAAGAAAAAGGAAAAACAGTCTAGCCCTCAAGATTGATGACTTTTCTTAACTAACCAACTAAATTCTTGTTTAACATTGATGAAAAGCTCACAGCACAGGAAAAGGGTTAAATGACTCATGCCTTCTCCACCAGCCAACACCGGGGTCTTGCTTCATTCAGTCCTTTTGGTATGCACCCTCACACACTCATGCACACGACTGGCAAATAAAAAGACAGGTGAGGGTGATGGACACAAGGGGACTGACCGTTTTGGAGGGGGCTGCCAGGGTCTCCATCTCCTCATGGGTCACCCATACATTGCCTGATGGCTGCAAGGGCCAGAGAGACAGCGCGGCAGCAGGGTTGGTAGTGGAGGTCCGGTAGGAGGGGCAAGCAGTGTTAAAGAAGAAGAGCAGCACCACTGTAAGCCAATAGTGTTATAGCATCACAGTCAGATGATGAACTGGCCCTGAACCCGCCAGGGGTCAAAGGGCATCACAGAAGACAAATACACAAAGACAGTACAGCACAGAAACATCCCATCTTTGGCAAACAGTACATGTAGAACCAAATAACACAGCTGGCATGCACAAGAAAGACTGAACACACTGGTACCAATAACAACAGACAAAATCCACATTGCTCATCTCTCTCCATTTAACAACTACTAGGGTCAGTTCACTCAAATTACAGAAACACACTTAGCTCCTGTGTTAACCTAGTCATGCAGAACCCTCTGGTTTTATTTGCTTAGGTTTTGAAAGAGATCCTTCTAGGGCTGCAACTAATGATAATTTAATTGCTGATTATCAGTTGATAGTCTGATTGTGAAACATCCAAAACAGAAAAAACTGGCCACAGTTATTTCTCAGCATGAAAGATGACCTATTCTGGTTGTCCACATCCTAAAGATATTCAATTTGACATCATGTACAGCAAGTACAGTTTTTGCCAAACACAACCCTCAATTTATGCATTAAACTTCTTACTATTTCTGCCAATCAACTAACTGATTAATTGTTTCAGATCTCAGTTCCTGCAGCTGTCACTCTGGATAATCTAATGAGTATGCTGCAAGAGGTTTTAATAGGTAGTTCCAATACATTTGTCAGTGAACATTGCAGTATTGTGATGGAGATGGAAATTTCATGACAACTCCAAAATGTTCTGCATGGATACAAAACACTAGAGGTACCACAGAAAATATGTTCATTTGTAATTTGGGTGAATCAATCCTTTAATTGTCCATTTGGATGCACTGCTGTGTCATTGTAGCAGCAGGTTAAGCTGCCATGACCCTGAGAAAAACAGCCCAAGTAATGCAGACCACTCCCCTCACTGCACATTTGTGCAGGATCCAGTTTTTACAGTGGAGGTAAAATGACCTCTTCTGCTTGAATCACACTTCTGTCTGCACTGACACTCTGTTAAGTGTGTGGGGGTCTGAGTGTGTCAACCGGATGTGTGGAGTCTCGTGAAAATTTCACGAGGTCTGGAAGTGGAGCTAAGTGGTCAGAGAGAGTGAGGTAGAGGGGGAACAGAAGGGAGGACACAGAGAGTACAGGTGTAATTATTTTACATCAGGAGAGGACAGAAAAAGTGCATGTGTTATGACTACTGCATGCATACTGTAGATAGTATGGTGTCAAGTCGGAAAACAAAAACTTGAATAAATATACTTGGCTGGGTTTATATAACAACACACAGCTCCTTGTGTCTGGTCCACATTGTTTGTGTCCCTTCAGTATGAAGCATGTTATCCTGGCTCTGAAGTGTGAACAGTCACTAATCGCTAAGGAACAGCACAGGCTGTGTATAATTACTATGACAACAGAAACTGGTAAATATCTGGACAGCTAAATTACAGTACACACTGAGCACCGCTGTAATATTGACTTATTTACATAAAGACTGGACTAATTTCACTTTATAAGATATAAAAATATATCGAGCTGGTAGCGATTATGTTGTGGTGGCTCTGTTTGCTCATCACCCGCCTACACATGGTACCCATGTGCAGAGGAGTTGAGCATGTAAGCAGAGAGGAGGCAGAAATTCTGGGATTTTTTTTTTTTTTGTTAAACATAACCAGCTTTTCTGGCTAAATAACATTAGAATGAAGTAAAGTGCCCTTACTATTAGAAAGAAAAGTGCAGCCATACTGACTTGCCTAGGTTAGTATGCTAGCATGCATTTTTGTTTAAAGGAATAGTTGACCCTTTTGATTATTACACTTATCAAAAGGGAGGCCAGGGCGAGGGGAGACATCGCGTTCCTGTGGTATGACCAACTAGTGACCTGTCCTCGGAACCAGAATCCAGGACCTATGACCAACATGCTGAGGACCAGTATGCCAAGACAAGAAGAGTATGAAGGGGTCACTGGACCCTCAGCCCTGTATAAAGAAACACGCAGGTATATTGATATCTGTGAGGGCAAATGGTCGTTGGAACCAACAATTAGCCGGGACCAACAACAAGTATGACCCACGTACGGAATGAGGCAAGTGATTTGCTACAGAGGTTAATAGTTTTTGAGGGATTGGATCTGGAACTGAACACAATTGGAGACACTGAACAACATTATCATGAATCGGACGATGACTTTGACCCTGAAAAAAACTTTT